TAGCGTTCAGACGGATAACGTTAAATTCGATTTTATACTAATTTTTATTTTACTGAACGAGCGTATAGGGCCACAGAGCATAGATATACCAAAGAGTTAAAATATAAGACGAGGTGTACGAAGCCACGTGAGATCGGTTAAAGTCGCATTCTCAACAAAATCGCAGAAAAACTTGAATTATAAAGTCACTCGAGCACCCCTCCCTCGATTGTCCACTGTCCAGTCCCTCGTTTTCATAGCATTACCAGAATTCCATTTCCCCAGGAAGCAAAAGCAAAAGTTGAAAAGTAGAAAATGGTCCCGGAACTCCCACAGGGAAGGCTCCGGATGATTGCTAGACCGCGAGAATAGAACAGTCCCATGAATAGTGTGCCTTGATACCGTCTGGGAATGGCTGAAACGTCTATCCGCGCAATTCCGCGAGCGAAGTGTCAGGATGATGGCTCGTGTGACTCTCGATTACGCGTTCCGTCATTACGCGGAGGTATTTTATCGTCCAGCTGAGTTACGGGGTTCCGCTCGTTAACCGGAAACTTCCAAGGGATCGTCTACGCTCGAATTTAAATTGAGAAAGTATTTTACGAGCGCGCAAGAGTTTCACGGTAGCGTTGTCACATCTTGATGAACTTCCGGTAACGATCGCGGGGGAAATGTCCCTGGGTCGTAGTCTGGTGGTAGGGGCCCGTCGTTTCTCGTTTCCCAGGAATCTGGTTCACGAAACCGACCGTTCCGTCGGGATTAATGAACGCTCGATCGCTTACTCGGCCCATTTGTTCCCGATTGCGACGACCGATTATCATAACCGATTATTCGGATTCCGATACCTTAGGAACAGGAACACCAACACCTGTGGATTTAAGGGGTCGTCGAAACAACGGAAGGGGTTTATTAATCTGCTGGAGGAGTTAGAACGAACTCGAGGATCGAAATGGAACGTTTGGAGGGAAATTGAACGTCCAGTAGTTCAAATATAAAAGCTTTACCACGGGAGGCTTAACGATTTTGTTTCTTAATAAAATGAAAATTGTTTCGTTCCCTTGCTTCGTCTACGAGGAGGCACCTAGCTTGATCTAACGAGACAAGTATTAAAATAATAATGATTACCGTAAAACTATAATTAGAAACTCATTTATCAGCAATTTCATGATTATCAAGGATTGCTTCGTTTAAATTAACAAAAAATTCTGACGAGGCCGGTGCACGAAGACGGCGCTTAAAAACGAAAATGGTCCACATCGACTATCGATTTGCAGTAATAGGTAATAGTAAAATATCTCGTCGACGATGGATCATTAATATTGCATACAGGGAGTGTACCCGCCTTTCCGCGTTAATTCGAACCGCGCGTAAAAATGTTTATCGGCGGACGGGATGCGGCTGTAATAAACAACGCGTGATGCGGCATTAAACGAGAGCTCCATTAAAATCCACCTCCGCGTTTTTTTTTTTTTTTTGTAGAATAAGCAAGAAAGGAGAGAGAAAAATCGCGGAGCCGCTGGTGCTCGCGGAAGTACACTGTGTTTGCGTTTAAAAACAAACTACCTCCGCTCCTTACGGATATTTATCCTAGCAATGGCGGATCGCGCACGCTTCCCTGCTCCACTTTCTACCCGTATTCTTACATTAGGGGGACCATTAGTTTCCATTCGGGATCATTTCCGTCTCGTCATTCGCTGGCCTCGAGGGTAGTCATTTGTTTATTTATTGTTTATTCATTTACGCGAATTTAATCCCATTTTCTACAGAGAAAAGATGAAACGTAAATTCGATTATAGGTATATGCAGTCGAACGATGTAACAGAACGCGAGACACTGCAATGAATTTATTTTATGTACACATTTTGTAAATTCGTTTCATGTGTACATTCAATAAATTCATTTTATACATTCATTTCGTTTGTGTACATATCCTATAAATTCGGTTCATACGTACATTTAATAAATACATTTTATGAGTACGTTTCATAAATTCATTCTATATACATATCCAAGCTATTCATTTTATATGTATACATTTAACGAATTCATTTTGTGTATACAATCCACACCGCACACTTTATAAACACATTTAAATGATACAAGCATCTATTGAAACCGACCAAGTTCGTATCAAAAAGGATGGACTATTAGCGATACAAATTTCAGGACACGTTTATACGCGTTCGTTTCGACGTTTCCTGAAAAAAGCGATCTCGCAGGTCGTGATAGCTTTCGCGTGGAAAAAAAAAAACACAGCTCTAAAGCCCGCGGGGAAAAAGTCTGTCCATTTCGAAACAAGCTCTGCGAACCACCTGCGAGGAGAATACAGACGGACAGGCGAATCCGCCCACCTGACAATACCCTGTCTCGACGGAATCGTAAAGCTGCTCTTTACGCGCTCCGCGAAACGCCGCGACGGCTAAAAAACGCGCCGCGGCCATTCGTCCGCGCAGAGATTACGGTACGAGCGAATATTCCACGATTGGCGAATGGAGACGTCCATCACAGCCAGCCGGGCGATTAGAAATCCCGAAATTCGGGGCTCGTTACTTCAAACCGGTACTACTCGTGAAAATATGTTAGCGGAGATGCCAGGTTTCAGCTTCGATTTAAAATAGAATTTGTGAATTGGAACGAATTAAATTTTAAAAAATTGTTATTGATTTAATATAAATATAAGTTATAGGGATGTGTAAGTGCATGAAGATAGAGCATCTTGACGAAAAGAATCACAATGCAATAACACTTTGGATTTCAAATGAAAATTTTGCACCAAGCATGCGTTAAATGTGAACGAGGGTTCGTTGATTAACAAAACAAATTTAGTGAGAATTCAGAGATTTCGATCGGCGTGCGTTGATGAAAACAGTGGATCGATGAGGGAACGCTTGATAGTAATACGCTTGCGTGCGCGAACAAGAGATGGGAACAGCGTGGGTGCAATTTTTGTAATTTTACTATTCGCGTCGGCATTTTGCGATTGTGATCGATGACATCCAGACACGTCACACTCGGGATTGGAGGTGTTTGTCACACGAACGGGTAATTTCTGTTACTTTTGCGATTGGGGGTGATATATGAACGAGACCGCGATATATGTACCTACGTGACTCTTGGTCAGTTTCAGTATTTACGCCTCAGGGAAATGCAAACATTTCAAGTACCCGAATATTCTCACAAATGAATTCTTAATTGTTTTCATATAGATACCACGAAATCCTTACAATCAAGCCTGGCACTAAATACTAAACTGAGAATATAGAAGGAAATAAAATTCCCTCGACTCTTCATTTCCATTTCCTATGGTTCGCATCCCCCATTTATTTATATTTCGTTTCCTAACATGCTTCTTTCCTCGAAGATGACCACGGTCAATAACGAACACCTTTCGTCGCGATTCCCAACCAATGTTAACGACCCCGTCACGTCGAGCTTCCCTCCTAATAATTTATCCATATGTTTTCTTATTACGCAAAGTACGTCAACGATAAAAACACCGATCGCCCGCATCGCGGCGAGGGCAATTGAATTATGAAACATCACCGCGTCTGTAATTTGTACAATTTTAATCAATCCTTAATGGCACCTTGTATGGAACGTAATCTGTCATCAGAGCCTGCATTACTAACAATGTTTCAACAGTGACGATCGCGTGGAAGCCTTAATTTTGTCGGTAAATGGAGCCCCGATGCATTTTTGATCCGCGAGGGACACGACAGGTAGCCGCGATGCAGAGATTCGAGATAAGCCCTCGCATCGCAGAGCCTCGCGATGACCTGTGTGCACAGGGCCATGCCTAGGTACTACATTACCCAGGGCGACGATATAGTACAGTGCCTCGTGCCTATTCCCTTTGTAGGTGTAAATTAGAGTGCGACGGTATCGTCAACTTAGGATAATCAATGAACGTCAATCACTTCGGTCTCCATTGCCAGCAATTCAATTAAATACGTTTTGAATACGGTTCATCCGACAAGATTGATAAGAATACTATTATGTATACATTTTATAAAGTCATTTCACCTGTACATTCGACAAATTTATAGTTCATTTTATGTATTTATAAGTTCATTTTATGTATATATCGCAGGGAAATGATAAAAATAGAGATTTGATCGAATCCCTAAGGTAGATGATCAATTCACGGAAGATGTTAAAATAACTACTCTGTGAGGTGATTTCCCTGAAGAAAGTAAGAACCTCACAGAATTGTCATTTTAACATCTCCCGCGAATTGATCATCTACCTTAGGGATTTGATCAAATCTCTATTTTTATCAAAGCGATAATAAAAGACTATAATATTATATTAGGTTGTCTCGAAAGTTTCTTTCGCGAGTTACACTCAATTATTTGATGTGGTCGTGTTTATATAAATAGACAATCTAATTTCATAGATATTCATGTTGTAACAGTAATGAAGCAAAATGAATCGTGCACAATTCAGTAATGTTACATAAAACAAACTATCGTGCATGTATTAGTTATTAATAAAGCGAAAGAAACTTTTCGGACAACCTAATATTTGTACAATGTCTCTTTAATAAAACGCGTTGGAAGACATCTTGCAATAATCGTTCTGCACCAAGCCGTCATTAAATTTATTATTAATCCTGTTTACTCTTAAGGGGCGCCCGTCTGCGGCCAAGGGGCACGTGTCCCTTTCACCTCTGGCTTGTGACAGCCCTGTGGACACATGTATCGCAGATGAACCGGGATAGCGCAGTGTACGCCTCTCTTGAATTATCGAGTTGCATGTATAATAAATGAATTATCGCGATTAGACGCGGCCGTGCGATGTATCCGCGCGTTACATAATTACCGATTAAGCGGCCCCGACAGACACGAGGATTTCACGGTCGTGTCGCAGGGAATTATGACGCGTCGCTGTCGATCGCTGACAAGACAAGACGACTCGCGTCCCGTTCCACGACGGATCGGCTTTCATTAAAAAATAAACGCGCAAGGAAAACGCATTACAATATTGCGATCGCCCGACACGCGTCACGTGTTGCAGCATACGCATTCGTGCGATTATTAATCGCTGTAAAACAAATATCGTGGCACTTGCGGTCCGCACATGCGTGGATGGTTTATCCGAGAAAGGTTTTCAACTTTAATTTAAATATGGTAAAAATATAGGAATTTATCGAAACTGTGGTTAATAATAAAACGAATTGATCGATATAAAAATATTGATTTATAAGTAAAAATATCTTCTTTCAATGGTTTCGTTTCAAATTTGTAAAGTGAAAAATAATGTACGAGTTCGAATATCGTGACACTTTCATGGAGCTTCGAATTGCACGTGTCAGAGTTGGAGTTGTTTGACGGACATGTATTCGATACCGGTTTAATAAAAATTTAATTTTGAATGATTCTATTATATTATATCTCTTGTCTGTTATACGAAGAAAACTTCGTTCATTGATAGATAATTAACCGATAAATATATCGCTGCCGTTCGCAGAGACGACACGACGACTTCTCAACGGATAAGCCTTGGTTAAAAATAAACGAGCAATAAAAGCGCACTACAACATCGTGGGTCGTCCGATAGATGGTCACGTGTTGCGATACGAGTCTAAAGTCGATGCCCCATTGCTAAGCTGTTTCTCGACAATTATTAATTGTGTTATAGGAGAATTTTAATGTAAAAAATAGTGAGCAATATTGAAATGATTATTTGGGGTTGTTGGATCAATTATTTGTTGGAATTTCCGAAAAAAAAAATATTAGGTCCCACCGAGATTTGAACTCGGATCGCTGGATTCAAAGTCCAGAGTGCTAACCATTACACCATGGGACCTTCGTGTTAAACGATGTCTTGTTGCATTTCATTTTCGGTTGATCGATACCAACAAATCAATATCAATATTACGTTTCAATTGTTGCTATACGTTATTCTCTATTGATTTATATTAAATTGTGCTTTACAGTTGAAGAGCCTGAGCAGTTTAAAAATTTGTTTGAGATCATTTAACTTCAAAAATAAAGTAAGTATATGGAGAAACTTCTAAACCGAATACACTGTCTCTATATCGTAAAATATTATAAAAATGTAACTTTTAAATTGTAAAACAAAGAATTTAAATAATGCTCTCTTATTATAAATTTATTCTGTAAGGGTTTTTTTTTTCAAGTACGAAGCTTAGTGGAAGTGTATCGTATTATTTGTATATTTTGTTAACTATTAGTACTTCTATTATTTATTAATGATATTATCGTTTCTATATAGATAGAATATTTGCATAAAAGTGCCATCGATATTTGTTACTTCTAATGTTTAAGTAAAATGGTACTCACAGTCTCGTTCAATTTCAGTTAGGAGAAGATACGCACCGGGAAAATCACTTTCAACTTTCCACAATTTTACTTAATAAAAGTCACAAGGCCTCAGCTGACAGACGATGTTAACTCGAAGACTGCTGAACGATATCTAAAACCTAGCCGAGGGAAAAGCCTTGGCCAGAGCGCAAACGAAAAAAAAAAGTTTTATGGTTACCCAGGTCAGATTTTCGCTTGCGCACCACCCAAGGGTATCTCGAGTGCCTCGATCGTTCAAAGGACGATATTCCTACAGTCTAGTTAACTTTCTAAATGAATTCGACCTTGGTAACGTGATTTTACTCTGCTAATACTCTCTTGCCTAAAACCAGTGATGGGCAAAATCCTAGGCTTCGAATAAATCTGATGTTTGCCGATGTGTTTGTCTCGTTTCCTTCTCTGTAAAATGTTCAACAGAGGAAACGAGGCAAACACATCGGCAAACTTCAGATTTATCCGAAGCCTAGGATTTTGCGCATCAGCGCCTGAAACTCTCGAACTTCTGATCCTGGTAAATTAACGCATCGCGAATAAAAAAAATCAACACACCAATATGTTCGCAGTGATCGTTAATTGAATCGACAGATATTTCACCCTACCTCGTCGTTTCAATCGGACATCAAATCCCGAAGTAAGCCGCGAACATGTTGCCATCCGTCTCATTCCTTCCCGAGAAAAGGAAGCTGCGAGAAGAAAGAGAGGGTATAATGGTAATTCACGAACCCCTTCCCACATTCTCGACACTCCAACCCCCCCTCGCCGTTTGTAAGGGAAGAAAGCCTCTTGAGCCATTTCGCGAGTGTCGTCCCGAATCGGAAGAGGGGCGAACAATATATAAATTCAGACCACCCCACCGCAGGGGGTGAAAGCGAACATAGATTTCGAAAGCATCGACAAGCAAGAGAGAAAGCGTGGTTTGGGGGGGGGGGGGGACTTGCGATGGGGGGGCTGTTGGATGCCCTCCTCACCGCCCCCCCCCCTCCCCTCGAACGGCGTGTCAACCCCTAATTGAACGGAAGCTGGCAATAAATATTACGTTTCTTTTCGTGGGGCCCGGTTTTATAATGGCCCGCGTAGTCTTCGCTGTTGCCCGACGACGACGGAAGCGGATGTGCAATCAGTGTGACATGTGCTCGTGGCGGGCATTCACGAATTTATTTTCCTCGCGTCGCTTCATGCCCGATGCACACCAACTACCGATTAGAGGGGTGTGTAGGTTCACATTTAAGCGCGAAAGGAAGATGCTCCACGAGGGATAGTTCAAGTTTCGTCTTTATTTTTGTGATGCAATCTAACCCTTTGCACTCTGCGCCATATAAAATAGTCTAACTTTGGAAATTTGTCTTTTTTTTTTTGGTATTACTAGGCTTGGTTATAAATTATTATAGCATTCTTGAAGCGTTGACACGGCTGCAAATGTAAAGGATTTATGTTTGCAGTGGTGTGTCGCTAATAAAATTTTTTAGATCTACGATGCCCACTCATATGAGAGATCCGAGTACAAAGGGCTAAGTGTACGGGGTGTTAATAGTCTGGTCACTTTAGGAGTGGTTATAGAAGTACCTACTTCTTCGAACAATAATTGTTTTGAACTGTTATGGTTATTAGAAGACAAATCAAATTAGGAGTATTAACATTCAAATGTAAATAGATGCATTCTTAAGGTCAGATATTATATCAGGTGCACCTTCGAGAGAAAGAATTCTATAAAAAGATTATTATAAAATTCTCTAAACTCCACTTCATTAATTCTGATGGTTCAGTAAGGAATAATAATAACTCGAGATGTTACACATCAGCTACCTTCTTTCCCTGCCAGGCATCGCTCGCGCCATGTACCCTCATCCAAACGTTATCCTCGCAAAAAGAACAAAAGCATCGCGAATCACCCTGAAATCGTCCTCCTCCCTCCTAATCAGGGATCAATCATGGAAGAAATTAATATTCCCAATTCCGTATCGAACATTAATGAAAGCCAAACAAACCGCGACGGAGGGCCCCGTGGTACGCGTAACACACTTGACGCCGATCATTCTGCACTGTCAATATGATTAATGGAAGCGAGTCGGGGCGTATACGTGACCGTTCGCGAGCGCCATTCGTCAAAGGGAGCCGAAAGAACAGGTGGGCCGTCGACCCCCCGCTTTGTCTTTCGTCGCATGCTCGCCCAGGAAGCCTTTCCTTCCGTTCCTCCCCCTCCTGCCGCGAGCGGAGAGTTGTTCCTCTTCGCGCCAGGGGTCGCAGGCTGCGACTTCCGGTTCCTTTCCGATAATTAGAAACAGCCTCGTCTCGCGATAACAATAATGCCGCGTGCTGCGGCCCTTGAGGGCAGCAGCTCGTTCGACATCAAAGGGAAACGACTCCATCTACCACCCACACCCCTGCCCCCCTTCTGCGCAGACGTCCTGTGCGTCAAGGCACCGCTAATGAGATTCACTTTACGGTTTGCCCCCTGCCGTGCTCGCGACGCCGCTTCCTTCGTTCGATTATTTTGATCATTTCGACGATACCGTCGAAAGCACCCCCTCGCTACCTCGCATTCACCCGTTCCGCGCCTTTGAGGTCGCCGTGGTGCCTTTTCACGCGGATCGCGACCTCTCGTGCAATTAATCTGATTTTTGAAAAGGCGCTGCGCGAGAAAGGTGCATTGTATGACGCGATTCGTGGGTTTGGTCCAAGGGAACGTCTTTGTGATGGTCTAGGATGATTGGGGAAGAGCGGACTCCAGGGGTTCGGCAGGTGGTGGTTTTGGAAGCGGAAGTGTTTTGATTTGTTGCATTGTAGTATGTGGAATTCAAATAAAGATGGCTTCTTTGTCTAATGGTCCCTTAGGTTCTTAATTCAGATCCTCTTCGATGAAGGAAAAATGCGACAACTACAACTAATATTTAATTAAAGCTTTCCAATTTCAATGCTTACATTTATTCTAAGCTTGGAGGCTCTATACCTTGTTCCCTGTTTCGATAGGAATCTTTTAGTTCTCAAAAATTTGAAAATACCCCTAGGTTTAACCATCGAGTCGTCACCTTAAAGTATAAACCACCTAATAAACCAAAACCTTGATGTTCTAACATCTATTCCAAGTCTCTATCGTAGACCACCTCAAACAGCCCAATCTAAAATTCATGAAAACAACCAGACGTCTCCATCGACCGCACGATTTACTTATAATCGAGATCGAAACCCTCCAGTTTGACTGGCTCGTTCCTTCTAATAAAGATATCGGGGACGACTCCATCGAACATCTTCTGCGTTCGCCGTTAAACAATTTATTAAATCGTATCTTTTACGATTCCGCGTTTTCGGCCGTAAATTTCTGGACAAATTTCTCTAAGAACAAGGGGGGCACGAATTTATCGACGATATTTTACTGGACGTTATTGCGTTCTTAAATTGGACGCCACTTACGCGAAGATTCATCGCCCCGAGTAACTGGCACTTTATTAAAGATTTTATCATTGCACGGTATTAAGCGTGCATGGAACGACCGTATATGTTACCAATTATACGCACGACTGTCTTTAACCGTCTCTAGATACGATTATACATTTCCGTTACATCGTGTGCTTAATTGGATCGATCATTTCTACCTGGGTAATTTCCAGCCCGACGTGGCGTGCATTAGCGACCCCGTGTGCGCGCTGCCAATCTTGGGAGCTGCGCGAATCCCGTACGTAACGTACATACGCATAGTCGATTAATCGTGTTTTGCTTACTTCCTAATGCCTGATGGCGAATGTCTGAGAATTACGTTAAATCGATACAGTGATCGCAAGTAATTAACCGGCGCTTTCGACGAATCGATGATAACAACACGTGTAATTAGAATTCTACGTGCAGTTTGCGTGCTCGCGAGCAGCGGTATCGCGACACATCGGTGCTCCGGAGATGGATTCGGGACACAAAACTAATAAATGTAATTGAGATAAATGCGGCCGCCTTGTTTGCATCGTGCTTCGCGATTCCTTTTCGATGTGAACATCGATTCGCGCTCGTTCCGAGAGCAGTAAAGACGCGACGAAGTAGAGCGATCGAGGGACGTGTTAGAGTAAAGATGGGACTGGTGAAATTGGTAATTAAATTAATAATAGTACAGAGAGATAGATCCACATGGGTAATTTAACCCTTTGAGTGCCAAGGAGCGATATATATATCGTTTCTCTAAACACTTGTTAAAAGCGCAAAAAGCGATATGTTTACTATCATGCATCTTTGCTTAAAATTGTCTGGAATTTCTTGGATATATATGAAAATTTCCTCTGGCACTCAAAGGGTTAATGTGCATACACGTTGCTGGAGATTATTCATCAAAATTTCGTTTTAGATTACACGTGCAATAAATCTTATTATTGGATCGATCACCTGTGTATTTCATCCAGTTGGAGAATTGAATGAAATTAATATAAAATACGAAAAGTTAATCCAGTAAATATCACAATAAATATTGTCACTGGACGAACGTACGCATCGATCAATATAATTCACGCGGTATGGGGAATTGGAGAGAAATATGCCATTAGGAGAGAAAAATACGGTTTGAAATTTCCTGCGCGAACGACATTTTGGGTCTCCGTTTAATCCATCATCGGTCGTCTAAATCGAAGCGGCGCAGCTCGGGGCGATAACGGGACGCTGTGGACGACCATTGCGGTGATAGTTCATTAAAATATCCATGAATACATAATTCTCCGCGCGGAGCACCGCGTAGGACAGATAAATCGATGCCGGCGCCCGTGGAATTCGCGATGGAACAATAATTCCAGCGGGTCTGCGCGATTAACTCGCTCCGCGCTGGAAAAATATTCTATTTCGCTTCCGCGCGACCCCATTAAAACCGCCGATTATTTATAAATGCTACCCTCAACGAGTGGAATCACCATCGGGGACGAGAATCGGCCATGTTTCAATGTACGTTGCCGGGATCGTTACAAATTGTCTAACATCCTGCCCATTAATAACCTCAACGACGTAAATCGACGCGAAACGATTCGGGCGATATGCTTGGAAATTCTCCCAACTCCTGATTTCACAAATTAGTAACACCAGGAAATCGATTCTATATCCTGCCATTTGTTCAAGCTCTATATTTTCTTGTTTCTATTCACACAGTAGTAGATTTTGCAAATTATTTACGCACCGCAATGAGGTAAATTTTTAATTTGTCTCGAGTGTTTTAATTTAGATAATAATTTGCACAATTTTGATTCCATATACACAATAGTGTATATGGAATCAATAGTCTACCATTGTTAATGTCGAGGTGTGTATACCTCTAAATTAATCCTAAAATGTTCTCTGTCTTCTAACACTGTAATGCAGACAAAAACTTCGATCCCTAGGATACTCTGATACCTAACAAAGTACCCAATGCCCCCCTAAAAAGTATCTATAATTGCTCCGCGCGAGCGAAATAAATAATTCCACTTGGCAGGTGCTAATAATCACCGTTTCCTTATTAGAAGCGCGCTCGGGACCCGGAACCGTCTAGCAGGTAGCAAATCGAATCCCATCGCTTGGAAAATAACGGAAAATTGCCGGGGCAGCTACAAATTGTCCAACATCCTGCCATTAATAACATCGACGACGGCAAACTCGACGAAACGACGAAGCAATATGGGCGCCCCCCTGTCCTCTGCGCGATTTTCTAGCGTGTCACATGTCGCTCCTCCGAATCGAGTGGCGGTGGAATAAGAGGTGCGTTAGTCACGGGCCATTTTGCCACCAGGCGTGACCTGCACGCTTCTTTATTTTCCAGCGTTAATTCGCTACCGACAGCCACGGTTGTCCTCGAGGAAGACGTCCCCTTCTGCACCCGCACCCCTCCCTTTTTTTTAACAGCGCGTTTTAAAATCCGGCGCGGTTCGCGCGGGACTCAGGTCACGTGCCGACGCTTGGGGTGCATCATAATGCGCTCGACGCCGTGCCATTTCGGCTCCGTTGCTCGTCCGTGCATCGAGATGCATACGTAATTAACGGGAAGCATTAACGGGAATTAACAGGCGGCTTAACGGCGTGGAAAAGTAACGTGGGACCTGCCCGAGGCGAACGCGGGGGTGTGGCTTCTTCCGTTATCCTTTTTCGGTTAATTGAATCCTGGCATGATTCTTCGTGTTGTTTCGAACCGTTATTTAGTATTTATGAGCCGTTTGGATCGCTTGGGAATTTTTAATATTTAGTTGGAGGACATTGAAGACGTTTTAATGAGCTTCAGATAGCAACGAATATTGTGAATTAAATACGCAAGGTTGCTGCAAGAAATTTAAGATTGTAACGTTCATTGAGATCAAGGGAAGTAGCGAGATTTATTTGAAGATGTTACGGGAGAAAAGTAGTATAGTAATAGTTTAAGTATTACAAGCTTTACATAACACTTGTGCCTTTTATCACTTCGTTCAAGTGCATACAAAACTTTAAGAGGTTTCTCCAGCATTTAAGTCTGAGAGGGATATTTGGATTTTCTCGAAGAATTCCGTCCGACAGTTTCCAAGCACACGAGATTCCAGATCATTTGACTGGTCAAATCAATTTGTGTCTAAACGCTTCCATTATTCACACTCTGACACACTTCTCGTGCTGACTGACGCACTTGCATCAATTTGCTAGTATCGCGGATTCTTCTCGCATCGAATCCCCGCACCGATTCCACTGATCGTAAATAGTTTCACCTTTTCTATTCCTATTACGTTATCTACTTTCCTCTATCATCAATCAGAAATTCATTTAACACGTTGAATCTCACGTCATCCATATATGGATGACAGAGCTTTTCACTAAGGAACTTCAACAATTAATTACAAGGGCTAAATGTTCATGAAAACGAATCTGGATAGAATTCGTAAATTTGGAGGAAAATACAAAAACAAGTAATATGACAAATGTTAAATTCTATAGTTTTCAATTGTCTCGAGACAAAAATTTAGTCCTGTAGACATTTCCATGCGAATCGGTCTGACGATCAACGTGTTAATATGATTTCAATTTCTACACCTGATATTTTTATGCGATATTAATTTTCAATGCACTCATTGCAGATGATCGACGAAAAGAATTAAGCTGACCAAGAATCATGGCATTACCAATGGAAAAGGATTATCAGAAATATTGTTTGCGATTGTATAAACACTGCACAATCGAGACATTGCAAATATCTGCAATTGTCTCGTGTTTCTAGCAGGAATAATTCGACACCGAATAAATATTCCGCTGCAAAACCTTTCAAACGTATTCTATTTATTCCGCGTTCCATCGCGTCCGCATCTCCAATTATTCACGAGTTATTACAACGCACGAAGCGCAAATAAACGGTATTTCTCTCTATTTTTCCCATGCAGTTTCACAGAGGCCATCGAATACCCGAAATCCGACTCAACAATGGCGCTGAAAATTTATACTCAGTCATCGTTCTCGTTCGTGCTCGCTCGTTGAGAAATATGGGTCAAAAGCAGAAGGGTTGCGCGCGAGGTGGGTGGTTTTAGTTCCGCTCGATGGGGGCAGTGGCGCATCCAGAAATTTAACAAACGAAGCGTCTCGAAATCTTTCTTATCGAATTATCAATTACTCCCTATTTTACATGCACGTCTCGAGAAGTTGCAAAGCAATGAGCTTGATGTATAATTATTCTAGGTTCTTTTTTATTGTACCATTCTCTCATTTAAGATCAGCCTTTATTTTTATTTCCGAGACAAAATTGTGTCAATAAATGGTTCATTAACGCGCTGCCTGCTAAACTAATGCTCTTGAAAATTTCTACTGTGACAGTTTGTTAAATTTTGTTTGTAGACTATTACAAACTACACAATCAAAAATTGATCACGGTATTTATCTTTGTAACTTCATCGAAATTCAACCATTTTATTCGAATTTATTTTCTTTGAAACTTAGCACTCGGGACGAATTATTTTAATTCCTCAGTGAAAAATATAGTATACCGCTCCCTGGTATACTCCCTTCCCAGGTCTCACGTTTACCTCGCGTCTCGTAACTTTATCCGCGCGAAATCAGCGCGCATGGCTGCCTTTTACGGAAACGCGTCTCGCCGACAGATGCCGCGATGCGGGCGCAATCTTCCAACGTGATCTCGTTGGTCACCCATTGGATCATTACTCCAGTTATCATTTTCACTTTTGCTCCGCCCCCCCCCCCGCCCCCCGGGGGTACGATAATGGAGGCGAGACACCGGGAACCCTCTTCGCACGCTCACGGCCGTTATCCCTTGTCTCTCGCGCTTTCTCTCGCCGACTTGACCACCCGCCGCGCGATTGTGTCAGGCTTAATGGTCCTCGCTCCTACGGTGTCGCGGAAAACGCTGAGAGAGAGATGGAAGTTCAAAGGGCAGAGTCGAGAGAACGGGCATCGCTTCTTTCCGCTCGGTGAACCGCGCTCGAGTTATTAGCTTTGTCTTGATGGAGATGAATATCTTTGGGGACGGGTGCTTTTCGGCGCGAACTGGTTATAAGTAACTTCGCAACGAGAGGGCTGAGTCACGGGCCTTTACGCAGGGAGGTGGCTTCGAGGAGCTTTTTGCGTACGCGGATCGCTCGCGCAAGTTCGCGATACTCGATGAATAGAGAGAAGAATGGTCTCGCGAGGTTCCATTATACTCCTCTTGACTCGGGAATAACGTACGCGAAGTAGAAAGTCTTATTCGGGGGGTGTGGGGGGAACGGTGACATTTGGGGGTGCAGAGTTTGGTCTGCGATTGGGTAATCGGCGGAGTGGAGATTCATCTGCGATGTTTCCAAAGCTTGGAGAAATTCGTTGCATTTTTTCAAATTTTCCTCCTTATTGCACCATAAAAAAAAGGAATGTTTTAAATCCGTGATTATGTTCCAACTTCAAAACCATAAAAAAAAAAATGGAGCTGCTTCCATATTGCAGCACAACTCTCAATTGTATAAATGAAGGTTTCAACAATCTCTTTCCTTTGTAAGAGAAAGAAAAATAATCACTCACTGAATCACTCGAATTCCGTGCTCAGATTACAAATCTAATGCGTATCTAATAATTAGGAAAGTCCTGCAATCATTAAAAATTAAAATCTACCAAAAAGTTTCCTTGGAATAATTTTCATATCCAATCGGTTTAAAATTCGATCACCCAAATTTGACAAAAGCCCGATATTGAACGAACGACTCTAACAAAAATTTGTATTCATACCCTCCGCAATACACGGAATCATTTTTATCGAGTTCTTGGGGGTCGCCGAAGATCCTGGCACGGGTTTGGCGCAATTGCGAGTGTCGAGCGTAGAGCTCGTGTATTTTCTGGATAATAATTTCGTCGGGGGTTTCCCTCTTCTATTACCAACCACAAATTACCGCGGCGCAAACGGCAGTAGTTTTGATATACGATCCATACTCCTCCGCGATCAAGCGCGATTTATACGGTGCAACAATAACGTTTACCCTCGGTGTACCGGTCCCCCGTGTATTTCAGCGAGAACAGTTTTACCACAGGGCGAAAACGCAACCAGTGCGAATCCATAACCGGCGCAGTTTTATACACTTTATCTGCATTAGCAGTCGCGGCCGAGTTCTATATTTATTGCGTAATCCAACTTTTATTTTATTTGTCGCGGGACGTTCTTTACGAGCCGCGCGAACGTGAGACCACGCTTTACAGACCTCTTAAGGGCTCGTTTAACGATGATAAAGAGAAGAAAAAACCACCGCGGAAAACACTTTTCGAAAATTTACATTCCGTCAGCGCTTTGCGACTCGTTTATGTGCATGATACTTAAAAAAAAAAAAAAAAAATGGATGTAACGCGGAAACCTCGCAGGGTACACGCGTTATCGTGGTTTCGGTGTTGTTCTTTATAATTTTATTGGTAATTGGGGTAACGGGTTCCTCTTTGGATTCGTAGGAGAAAGGAAGATTGGAATTTGTATATTATACACTGGAACTCGAAGAGAACTCTCGAATTATTCGATAGGAGGTTCTACGTTATTTGATTTAGCATAAATCGGGAGGATTAATTAAATTAGTTTTGCTGTTCAATTTGACATAACTAATTTCAGGAAATATATCAATGTTCTACCTTATTACCTTATACAGGAGCAAATACTATTCTAATTACGTTTTAAAATTAACTCGTATCACCTTACCCATGTGGTATAAATTTTATCTTTTGAAATTAGCAAGTAATCAAGTGCGATTATGCTATTAATTCACAACCTCCCTTCCTCCTTTCCGCGTGATTTAAATTGCTTAGGTATATTTTTATTTGCGATCGAAAGTAAATTTCTTTCCTGCGTTCTTTAAAATTGTATTTACCTATACGAATGAAACCCTAATAAAGAATATAATATACATGAATTGATAAATGAATTTTCTAATAGTAAGTTTCTTTCCTCTGTCTTTTAAGATTGTATCTATCTACACGAACGAAACTCTAATAAATAATATATTATACATGAAGTAATAAAAGAAATCTCTTGTAGTAAATTTCTTTCCTCTTTTAAAATTGCGTCTACCATCAAGAACGAAACTCCACTGAATAATACACACGAAACGATAAAGGAAAGAATGTCCAACAATAGAAATCACCCTACGAGCCTTCCCCAGGGGTCCACCACCTACCTAGGTGTATCGCACACTGCACAGTCTCAGGTTTCGTAACGTTGCAGGTTCTAGTATCTCATGCACAGGCGCGTAATTCCAATACATTTCGATAATAATCGTAATTGAAGCATTTAATGCCCGGTGGCGTCGATATTCCAATAATTCACCAGGTTCCTGTCACGGTGGGCAATGGTGTGAGGTGCAAGGGTCCCCGGTTCGATTCCCGTGGGATCTGGTCCTTCTCGGTTCCACGGCAATGCATCACTCTGTCCGCAGCCCCGTAACTCACCGCTCCTCCCGCACACGCACGCACAAGCGCGGACAGACCGTCGCACACCGTCGCAAACCGAAGGGATCATACGTGTGCGCAAAACACACATAAGGGTGGACACGCATGGTCAATAAATGCGCGCACACCGACGCGGAGTCCGTGTTAGACGGAAAGCACACACGCGACATAGCGATGGAAAGACGGGGTCGAACAGATATATGGCCCGAAGTGAACGACGTATCTAATCTAACCCTTCTGGACAAGATACTCCGTGATGGTCGAGGGAGGTTTTGGCCAGCCATGCGTTAACCGTGGCCCCCGGGCCGGCCAAGTGTAATCTAAAATTACAAGAATCCACTGCTGGAGACCCGGGGACCATTTGTCAACCCACTCGACAATTGCTATCGACAGTTTCGGACTCGCGGACACCTTTCGCGGCGTTGAGCATTCTTGTTGCCGATAATAAATCAGAGGGGGATGGGGTGGGGGGTCCGAGTTTGTTTTTGGGTATTCGTCCGGGAAGTGTCTTTGTTTCGGGGAGAGGGCGAACTTCGAGTAATGTTTTTAGCGATGGAAGAAGTTACTTTCCTCTTTTGTAGAAATTGGTACCTTGGCGAGTTTCGAAACGTGCGAATCGAACGGAGAGAATTGATTTTGTTCGCGTATGGCAACGCGCATACTGGCTTCGGAACGCTTGAATCGAACACTCCCTTAAACTTTTCGGTGCTCTGCGCGAGTATACTCGTCGAATTATTTTGTACTTGTCGTGCTCGAGACGAGTTAAATCGCACGAGCTTAGCATTAATGAGTAGACTGCGGATCTTTATGCATTTATAGGAAATTTGAATGTGCAAGATCCTATAGAATGCAAACAATATGCAAGAATATACAAAAAAACATTTGAAAGTAAAGTTTATGTTATAATATTTACGCAATAAAATAAATTCTTATTCTTCTTCAATTTTTGTAGGCACGTTCGCGAAGATTTTATTTTGCATAAGGATCCGCAGTCTATTAATGAATTAACTCGTCTTGAGCTCTTTCCTATTTAAAAAGCTCATGCGATTTAACTCGTCTTGAGCACGACAAGAACAAAATAATTTGACGAGTATACTCGCGCAGAGCATCGAAAAAGTTAACTCTCTATGGGCCCGTATAACTTTCAGATTAAGAAATTCCCACCCTCCTAAAGGCAACTGACAATTTCGTTTTTTTTATTCGAAGTGAAATTTGTCCAACGCTGATAAACGTAAACAAGGAATATAACTAAATTGCAATAGCCTTTCTAAGATCTAATTGGTTCCAAAACGACCGAGAGTCGACGCTGCCAGGGAGGACTGCGCTTAGAGATGGAGAAAGGAAGAGGACGG